AGCATGGGGGTTTTGAATGCCCAGCTTGGATAACAAATGACTAAACGGCACCATAGGTAAAGATTTAGTAAGAAGATCGGATGGTTGTTCTGCGGAAGCGATGTGAGCTGTACGAGGTACCCTTATTCTGAAGTTTGTCATGAATGAAATGACAATCAATCTTAATATGCCTTCTTTGTTCATGAAACACAAGATTAGCAGCAACGTGGAGAGCAGCTTGACTGTCGCAGAAAAGCGTCAAAGGTTTGTGATGACGCACGCCTAATGAGAATAAGAGGGGGCGAAGCCATTTGAGCTCGCAACTGTGTGCGCCATGGCGCGATACTCGGCCTCGGCAGAGGAGCGAGAAACTATGTTTTATTTCTTTGTGCGCCAAGAAATTGGAGATTCACCGAGTTTAATAAAATAACGTGTCACAGACCGACGAGTAAGCGAGCAACTTTCCAAGTCCGAATCACAATAAGCTGTGTGAGAGAGAGATTATTAGAAGTTGGAAGAAACAGGTCGTGTCCGGGATGTGGTTTGACTACAAGTGGGTGTTTAAAATCAAACACATGTCAGACAGGGCCAAGAAATGGGAGATTCACCGAGTTTAATAAAATAATCTATCATAGACCGACGAGTAAGCGAGCAACTTTCCAAGTCCGAATCACAATAAGCTGTGAGAGAGAGATTATTAGAAGTTGGAAGGAACAGGCTCTGTCCGGGATTTGGTTTGCGTGAGAGAAGGTATCGATTGAGACATCCTCATCATCCGAGAATGAAATGTCAATAGGAGTAGGATTGGAGGGAGGGAGCTGCAATTGATTGGTTTGAAAAGGAAAGTGGTTTTCAAAGAATTGCATGTCTCGACTGACAAAGATTTTGTAGGTTTTCAAGTCAAGTAATTTCCAACCTTTTTGACGAAAGGAATAACCAAGGAAAATACATCGTTGTGAGCGAGTGTAAAAATTTATCACTACGATGATTTTGATTATGAGCATAAGCAAGACAACCAAAGGTACGAATATAGTTATAAAGAGGAGGTTGCCGAAAGAGGGTTTCATATGGAGATTTGTTTTGAAGGAGTGGGGTAGGTCTGCGATTAATCAGGTATCCGACGGTGAGAATACAGTCCCCCCAAAAATCAATGGGCAAGTGGGCTTGGAAATGCAGTGCACGCGCCACGTTAAGAATGTGACGATGCTTACGTTCTACTCTTCCATTTTGTTATAGTGTCCCAGCACAAAAACTTTCAAAGAGAATACCATGAGATTTAAAGAAAGGTTTCATGCAAGTGAAATCTGTCCCATTATCACTACAAATGATTTGCACACATTTTTCGAATTGACGGTCAATCATGGAAAAAAAAGTGTGGAGGACCAAAGGAGTTTCGTCTTTATTATTTAGCAAGTAAATCTAAACAGCACAAGAAAAACCATCCACAAAAGTCAAGAAATATTTTGCCCCAGTTCTAAAAGCAGTTCTATAAGCACCCCACGAATTGCAATGTAACAAGGAAAAAGAAATATTATATTTATTTGAGATATTGGAAAATGATTCACGACATTGTTTAGACCAAAGACATACATCACAAGGTTCATGAAAATCATTATTATTAGAAGTAGGTACCTGAGGTATATGTTTGATAATTGTATGGGAAGGGTGTCCTAGTCTCTTATGCCAAGTACGAGCATTGTTTGTTTCCGTCATCATGTGTGCCTTGTTGGTCACACCCTTCTTCAAGTAATAAATGCCCCCGAGTTGCCTACAGATTCCAATCATCATCTTCGAGGTACAATTCGACCTGTATAACACATGTTTTGTCAATAAATTAGACAATTAAACATTTATCCTTTAGAAGTTGAGAAACAGATATAAGATTGCAATTACATTGAGGGACAAGCAAAACATTTTTCAAAGAAATGTAGTCAGTTAGCTACACACTCCCCTTTTTATCGGCTGTGGCGTTTTCTCCGTTGGGTAGTCCTACAGAACACGCCTTAGTTTGTTCAATGTTTATCAAACATTCCTCATCTCCAATCATATGTTGGCTTGCTCCACTATCAATAATCCAAGAGGTAACGAGATTACATGAGAATTTATTCTTAAGAGGAGTGCCCTTATCCTTCAGCATGCCCCTCAAAGCCTTCCATTGGTCAGAAGTAAATGGCTCTCGTCCATCGCCCAAATCTCCCATCTTTCTCGTGAAGGCCGCAGCCATCTGTTCGCCGGTCCACCGAGTGCATACCACGGTTGCCTCGACAGGCAGAGCCTCCCCAGTTTCCATGTCCGCCGCACCCTGTCCTGTTGCGCCCTCCCCCTCGGCTTTGATTTCGGGGTCTATCACCCCACCAATCAGGATATCTAATCATTTGGCAATACCTGATGATTTCATGTCTTGTTTGTGTGCAATGTTTGCATTTTAGATCTCTATTAGCATCGCGGTTATAGGTTACCACAAAGCTAACAAAATTCTTTTCTTCTTCTTAAGTGATTTTTCAGCACTCTTTCATTTTGTACTATTGTCGAGTAGACGCGATTGAGTGGAGCCAGAGGAATTGTGCTTAGGATATTTGATCGCACACTGCCATATCCTTTGTTATCAACGACTATCAAGAATTGATGAACTTTCTCATTCTCTTTCTGTGTTTCAATTAGTTTGAAAGTTCTGCACTTGCACGACTGACACTTGGTGCAAACAGGAAGCTTCTCGATGGTTCCCAAGTCATCCCATATGCTTTTAATCTTCTCAAAATATGATGCAATTGTCTGTTTGTTTTATTTATGATTTGCAAGCTCCTCTTTGAGTTGATTCACTCGTGGTCCATTCACCACGGAGAATCTCTCTTTGATGTCGTTCCATAGTTCTGTTGCTTCCTCGACCTGTGTGATCGAGTTTCTGAGTGACCCATCTATGGTGTTAAAGATCCATGAAACCAACATGGCATTCAAGATCCACCATTCTTCTGCTTCTTCTTCGTCATCTAGTCGTAGAGGAAAGGATCCATCAATGAATCCAAATTTTCTCTTGGCACAAAGTGCAATTCGCATTGCGTGTTCCCATTCTTCATAGTTATCCCCAGTTAATTTGATCTGGATAAGAGCCATCGTAGGAGTGTCTGCAGATTTCAGTTCTTAAGGACTAATTTTGGTGAGTTGTCTGTCGAAATTTTCTTCATCTTTGCCGGTAGCTTTGGAGAACGAATTTTCCGATTTGCCGTCGTCAGCCATTCTTGATTGTGAAATCCGTACGTCTGATGTGATCATAGTTCGACAGAGGCCTCAGAAAAATATGCTCTGATACCATGTTAGAAATCATATCGAGAAAGAAATCTGTATATTATGTGATTTTGTCTAATACAAAGAAGTTCTCCTCTATCTATAAGAGAGAAGATCTGCCATAGTAGGAGACAAATCATAGTAGGAAACAAAGCGAACTAAATCCCAATGGGATTTGGCCCTTCCTTTCTCAGTCTTCCATCAACAACTTCTCTTGGGAAGAACAAAAAAAGAAATGTAGAACTTTTTTATAGAGATAGGGGATAATAATTAGTTTTTATGTTCTTGCATTATGAAAATATAAAATTTTGATCAGTTACTCCGCATTAGTTTTGAGAAACCAAAAACAAACTTCCTAATTATATAGGGACAAAACATATTTAAGTTTTTATTACTAGTTACCGAGTATTTGCTTGGAATGAATACTTCTGTCAAATAGAATTATATGAAATTAAGTTCAGAGTAAATTTTTAAAACTATACTCAACAACTCTTTGTTTTCTTAAATTAGTCTCCAAGATAAATTAATTGTTAAGATGGTACTCGTTAATTAAGAAAAATGTTATATTTAGTCCTCCGACTAACGGCCTTCAAAACGACGTTAGAACTTATAAATGAAACTATAAATTTAATTTTATAAATTTTAAAGTATACATTTCATGTTATTTACGATTGTTTAGAAAAATATCATGTAAATAAAACATTTAATACACCTTCCATCCCAAAATAAGACTCGTGTTAATAGAAACTCATAGAGCAATTTTCAGTTATATATTTATTTGAAAATAACTTTGGTCAGACACATAATTCGAAGCAGGATTATTATTTCAGAACGAATGGAATTGTTTATTAAATATTTAATTTACATGATATTCTTCTAAACAACTTTAAACAATCTAAAACATTCGCGTTCAACATTATAAAATTATATTTATAGTTTTATTTATTGCATTTTCATCCTATAATATTTAAAAAAAATTCATATTTAATGACTTTTAATTTTGAAAATGGACCAATTTGAGAAAATGCACGATTAAAATAGACCATTATGGAAAACACACGAATATTTTAACATTGTTTTGACGCTATTATGATGGTTCTTAGTCGGATGACCAAATTGAGAATTTTTCTCAATTAACAAGTACTATCTCGGTATTAGTTTATCTTGAGAAATAATTTGAAAAAATACATAGTTACAATTATCATAAGGAATTTACTCTTAAGTTCGTATACTGGAACACTTATCATATCATATTACAGAGTATTATACATATAGAGATTTTACATATAGATCTTAGCCTTGTAGCTATGGTGTTAGCTAGAGTGGTGATATTGTTCATTGTGCCTATGCCCAATCTCTAGGGAATCCAATCCAACATG